AGTTGAAGTTTTGAAGATTTTAAACATTTTCTGGTTCGCTCGCGAAAACCTAGCCAGATTTTTTTGTCGTTTTGAGAACATTTTAAAAAGCAAAAAAAAAAAAGCGCATAAGATTAATTGGACCAATGAGAGACAATTACAAAAAAAAAATTTAGGTAAATAAAATATCTTTAAACAAGAAAAAACTTAAAGCTAAATAAATTACGTTTAAAACAATTATTTTCAAAACATCGCTCTTTGATAATTTTTTTCATAAAATTAAACGATGTTTTTTATATAAAGTAACAACTTATGATTTTTTAAAAAAGGAAAAAAATATTCTTTATTTAACAAAGTTTGCAAGCTTTAGCTTTATTTAAGCTAAATTATTTTATAAATAAAAAAGTTAATTTTTTTAATACCTATTTTATGTTTCGCGTAGTTTGAAAAGTTTAACATATTTGAGGCTAATTCTTCTTAGTACAAATGACAATTTAAGACAAATGAAATAATTAAATCATTGAATTACTATAGAAATTAAATTAACAAGATAGAAATCAACTAAAAAGGTTAAATAATTTTATGACGAGGAAGCGAAACTGCTTCACAATATCGCTAATGATGTTTAGTGAGTGGGCTTTTTAATTTTAATCAGCATTTAAAGCAGAAAAAAAGTATAACGAGTTTTAAGAATGGCAACTGAAGCAAAAATAATAAGAGTTAGTAAACCAATATCTAGAAACTTTTCTTTATATCTAATTATTTGCTATAAATATTTGTGTTCTGCCGTGACCTCAGGCGCGGTACTTGTTCATCCGCGAGTTACTTTGTATGAATTGTTTGTGTTTAGTAACCAGAAACTTCTTATATTTTTGTTACATAACTAGTTTCATTAACTATGGCGATTATAACTTCATTGAAAACGCAAATATTTTTGTAAGTCTTTGTTTAAATCATAAAAATTGCTTTAAAAGATACATTATGATAAAAGACAGATACACAAAATTACATTTACATGAAGAATACATACTTTTTAAATAAAAAATAAGAATATACTAATAAAATTTATAATTTATCATAAACTTTGAAAATTTTGACAATTTAATTAATATATATTTAAAACATTTATTTTTGTAAACAAATAATATATATTCTCAAAACAATTTATGCTAGAAATCTCAAAACGTAACAAATCGTGAATAATACAATTTCTAAAACATTTCAACAGAATACGTGAGAACTTTATTTCGCTTAGTCAGCGTATTTTTTGAACTAATAGAATTAGTTTGTTCGTTAATTTTTATTCTTAACTTATATTCTTTTTATTCTTTCGCACCAAGATATTTTGAGAACATTCAAGTTTTTTATGTTTCCATGTATGTCCGTAAAACAAAAATTTCGCAACTAAATATAATTTCCGTGGTCAGTATTTGAGAACGATTGCTCTCGCTTCCAGTTTATGGGAAAACTTTGTGACTACCATGCAAGACTATATATATATATATATATATATATATATATATATATATATATATATATATATATATATATATATATATATATATATATATATATATATATATATATATACATGTATATATATATATATATATATATATATATATATATATATATATATATATATATATATATATATATATATATATATGTATATATATATATGTATATATATATATATATGTATATATATATATATGTATATATATATGTATATGTATATATATATATATATATCTGTGTGTGTATATGTATACATCAGGGGCTATTTTAGACTATTTTCAACAGCATTGATTGTATTTGGGTGCCGAAATTAAATTTTGAGAACCTATTTTTTTTTAAATATGTTTTTTACTGCAAATTTATTTATTTTTTTGCAAAAAAATTGCCTATATTTGGCAATATTTCCTAATTATACCGCTGCCCAAATATTTTTCCATGAATAGCTCCTGTATATATATATATGTACTCTTTGCCTGATTTTCTTCATGATGGCCCTTGGGTAGAAATCTTTTGTCTTCCTGCTGACAAATGTGCTTCTTACATAACTTCTTAGATTCAGGCTGGGATTGAATCTTTTATTCCATCTCGGCGATTCCAAGTCAAGTCTCACTATTCTCTGTGATTTTGCTCTCATGGTGCAATATCTAATTGTAACCATTACTTTCATATCTATCAGCAAAACAATTATCTAGAAAACAGATGTCTGTTTACTATTGTTAGAAACCATTGTAAAAAAGTTTTTTTTTTACACCAAAGCCTGCTTTGGTGTAAAAAAAAATTCTCAGGCCTCGAAATCTCGCATTTATCACAAAAATTAGGTTCTTGTGACTTCTGGAGAAACTTTACCAGCATCAATAATATGGGCAAACCTGTTAGTCCACCTCTATTGTATAGTTCAAATTTTGTCACCTCACCTAAAGACAAAGCTGAATTATTTGCTAAGAACTTTTTATCAATATCATCTCTTGATTTCACTAGTTGTGTTCTACCTGATATAGCCGACAAACAGGTTGATCCATTAATGATTCATGCTTAGACTCTTCTACAGCTTGTGGTCTGGACAACACATATGTTATAGTCTTGCAGAAGTGTTCTTCAGAGCTGTCATCTATACTTTCCAAACTATTTAACATGTGCTTATCAGAGTCTTGTTTTCCAGCTTGCGGGAAAGCAGCATCTGTTATCCCTATTTTCAAAAAATCTGGAGGGAGATCTGACTTGTCTAACTACTGTCCCATTATTCTTCTTCCTATCATTAGCAAGTTTTTTGAATCTTTAATTAACAAACACTTAATCTCTCATCTTGAATCTAATAACTTAATCTCTCAACTTGAATCTAATAACTGCTCATCTATATGGATTTCGATCTTCTCGTTCTACAGCTGACTTGCTGACAGTAATAATCGATAGGTTTTATTGTGCATTAGATAGAGATGGAGAGGTTAAGGCTATCACTCTAGATATTTCTAAAGCTTTTGATACAGTTTAGCATGCTGATCTTCTCCAGGTAACATCTTTAAAATTATTGAATCCTTCCATTCCAATCGTAGTATAAAAGTTGTCCTTGGTGGACAGTTTTTTCTTCATACCATGTAACTTCAGGGGTTCCTCAAGGCTCTATCCTTGGCCCTATACTCTTTTTAATTTACATTAACGATCTTCTAGATGTTTTCATCTAAGGTGGCATTGTTTGCTGATGATACTACCACTTATTCTTGTCTTGATAAGAAGCCAACACTCTGAATGCTTAGAGGAGACATTTGAGCTTGAAAAGGATCTCACTTCTGCTACAGCATGGGGCTCACAGTGGCTGGTGAACTTTAGTTCAAATGAAACCCATTTTTTTTTCAGCCAATCGTTATCGTTATAATTTAGATCTTCCTTTATTTATGAATGGTAATGTACTCTATGAGTCATCTGCTGTAAATGATCTAGGATTAACTCTTACTTCCTATCTTTCTTAGAAACCATATATCAAATCCATTGCAAAATCAGCATCTGCTATGGTTGCATCTCTTTATTGTGCTTACCACTTAATTTGAATTCTATTCTTAATCTCTATAAATATCAAATTTATTCTTGTATGGAATACTGTTGCCATCTTTGGGGCGGATCTTCCAATAATGCCCTTTTTCTTTTAGACAAGATGCAAAAATGCATTGTAAACATGTTTGAAAGACAAAACTTTTCACTTATACATTGCACTTTTTCCTCTGATTGACCTAAGATTTATTATAAGTTTTATTTAAAGTTTTTGTTTTTTTGTTACAAGCCTTACTTTATCTTGTGGTATTATCTTTAGCTTGTTATTTCTAATTGTAATTACTGTTTTTTTTTTTTTTATTATTTTCATAAGAACTCTTTTGAGAAAAAAAACAAAACAAAAAAAAAGAGAACAACTCTTGAAAAAAACTTCTTTTTATCTTTTTAGTGACTTCAAATTGAGTTTTGTAAAAAGTTTATATTTTCATAAAATCTTTTTTAAGCCCAATTGTTTTAAACACCCTTTTTAACCTTGTTTTTGTTGTATCTACATATTTGAAAATTTCTTACATTTTTTGATATTTGATTTTATCTATTAAATCTATATCATGTTGTAGTTTTTCGCCATCTTTTTCTTATTATCTAGTATTACTTTAATCTTTTGATATTGCATATGGCTTGCGTAGATTTTTGAGTATCATACACAAATCATTTACATAAAAAATAAAAAAAAGCCATCAATTAAACACACTTGATTTATATCATTAAAAAATTTTTTAATGCATTATCATAAACGCAAATATATTTATATAAGACAGTAAATTTGTTATTGTTTAAAAAAAAAAAAAATTATTTGGGTTTAACAGTATCAAAGGCATTTACATATTCTACGATAAATGTTTTAATTTTTTTTTTATATTTGAAATAAAAACATTACATTATCCAATTAAAAAACTTTTTATTTTATTTTTTGATGGAGTATTCTATTAGAAAGTGGGTTGTGCTTGTAGCCCAGATCTCAGATTTTCTTCATACTTTTCCAAAATGGTCACAATAAATTACCTTGTGAAATTAAAGATCTGTTATCGAAAGGGTTTTTGAGATATTGTTCAGGGTTAAAAATAGCTGATTGCAAATTGCAATATCTAGAAATGCTCCCAGTCTTTAAATTTTTAGCTTTTAAAAAACTGTAAACTTATTTTTTATCACTCAATAGCTCATAAACTCAATAGCTCTTATTCAATAAAATGTCTTTGTGTTGATCTTGAATAATGATATTAAACCTCATTATTCAACCATATTATTTTTATTATTATTATTATTATTATTATTATTATTATTGTTATTATTATTATTAGTTTTGAAAATGAGAATTAAGAATATGTTTATTTCCATAAAATTAACACTGATCTCAATTTTAAAACCATTTTTTTTTTAGTTTACCAATCTCACAACCTTCACTGGGTGTGTCGTTATCTTATTTTTTTATGATGACTATAAGAATTTTTTTGTTTCAGGCATCCCTTCAAATCCGTCGGTTATACAATCTTTTTAATGGGGTTGATGCTGTTCAAGTTGAAATCAATCCATTTGGTGAAACAGATAAGGATGAAGGTTTTAGTTAAATATTAAATTATTTAATTAAAGACATGAATACTTTTTAATAATAATTATTTATGGAATAAATTATAACCTCATTTGAATAATTTATTGATCTGAACAAATATGCACAAATATTTATAAATATTGTGCATATTTGTTCAGATCAATAAATCAAATGTGTTTTTATTGGTATTAATGTTGAAATGTGATCTTCCAAAATATTAGCAACTTTTTTATAACTACTCTAAAAAACAATTCACAACCCACAAAAAATCATTTGCTAGATAATTTCTTCATACGAAAATAGTGTCCAAGAAAATTTTAATGTTGTAATCATTAATACTTAACCAATGAGAGAGTTAACAAATTGTTAATATTTGCCCAGAGAGAATTGTGCTATTGCAATCCTTACAATATTGGCTTGAGATCATGAATTTGTGCTGTTTTGATTTATAATGGCAGGAAACAAGTATAATTTAACATTTAGAAAACATATTATAAAAGATTATAAAAGAGGAGTCAAAAAGAAATTATTACCAAGTATTCCATTCATAAATCAATTGTATGTTGAATAATCAAACAATTTAACAAGGGTAATTCTTTAGAAAGGTAATGTAGGGCTGTAGACCACCCAAAACATGTCATTTCACAAACAGAAAAATTACTTGTTATGCCAAACAGAATCCTTTTCACAGTACTAATGATATCATTCAAAAAATGAGTCTTTCAGTGTCACAAAATACAATTTGTGGACAGTTAAAAATATCAGGATTTTTCATAACCTTTTTTCAAAAGCTAGAATTGAATTTGCAAATAGTCATAGAGACTGGACTATTAATGATTGGAAAAGAGTATTGTGGAGTGATGAATCAAAAAATCATTTTGATGGCAATTTGAAGGTACGTAAACCTAAATCTAAATGTTTAGATCCTAAATATACAAGAGAAACAGTCAAGCATGGTGTTGAAAAATGTGCAATGGTTTGGGGTTGTTTTTCTGGTTTTTTGGACCTCTCCATTGATTAAATGGTATTATGAATCCATTTGTTTATCATAATATTCTCATAGAAAAAATGGTTCCTCATGCTGGTAATAACATGCCTTATTTTATGGGTATTTCAACATGACAATGACCCAAAACACACCTCTAAGCTTGTTAAAAAATGGTTTAAAACGAATCAAATAAAAATAATGAAGTTGCCAGCTCAATCATCTGATCTCAATCCAATTTAAAATTTATAGTACTAAGTGGAACTGTCCCTAAAACACAAACTAAAATGTGTTCATGCTAGAAAAAATTATTTAACTTATTGATTCTGTGCTGAGAAGATGTTCTATAATCCGAAATGTAAAGGATTATGTCATTTAATAATGGCATAATCCTTTACTTAGTATAATACTTTACTTAATATAATCCTTTACTTAATATAATCCTTTACTTATTATAATCCTTTACTTATTATAATCCTTTACTTAATATTTATTTAAGTAATATAAAATTTGTTTTTTTATTTAATTTCTATATTTTCAAGTTGTCTTAAGTATAATTCTTTTTTCTTAGATGTAATATTACCCTTTTTTTTTTAATTTAATGAGGCTTTTTTTCAAAAAAAGTTGCTGTATTCAGTAATTGAAGTTAAAAAGATATTTTTTTCATTTGGTTGCTAATGTTTTGGAGAACAGTGTATTATATTGTTACATATATTTATTTATATTGTTTAATTTTTTTTTTAATTTGGAACTTTTTTGTTTGTTTTTGTTTTTTTAACATAAATGATAATAAATTTGTATAATGGTGTCAAATGAATTATTCAAATTAATTCTTTTAATTTAACAGTATTAAGAATCAATTATAAAAGGTTGTTGTTTTGATTTTTGTTTGTTGTTCGAATTTCGAAGTTTGTATTGTATTGTATTTTGAATTAAACAATTTTGTATTTTAAGACTAATATTTTGATGGTCAATTTTGTTTAACATTTTTTTAGTTGTGTGTTTTGATGCTAAAATCAACTTTGACGATAATGCAAAATTTCGTCAAAAAGCAATATTTGAAATGGATGATCATTCTGAAGCAGATCCTAGAGAATTAGAAGCAGATAAATATAATCTAAACTATATCCCTTTAGATGGAAATATTGCTTGCATGGGTAATTAAAAATTTTTTTTTTTATATGTTAGGTATCAAAAATTTTCATCAGTTTATTTTGTTAAGTGCGTTAAAAAAAATAAAAAATAAAAAAAAATGACAAGTTTCCTCCATTGTAATGCCTTTCCACCACAACACCCCATTCTCACCCACCAATCCGACCCTGTTCCTTTCTTAATCTTTGAGTCCACCACAATCCTGAAGAATCAAAAATCAAGTATTTATAATTTATAGTTAAAAATTGTTTTTATATCATTAATATAATTGAAAATTGTTTTTATATCATTAAATTAGTTCTAAAAATAATACAACAATATTTAAAAAAATTTTTTTTAGTTAATGGTGCTGGATTGGCTATGGCCACAATGGATATTATAAAGTTGAATGGTGGGTGGCCTGCAAACTTTCTTGATCTAGGTGGAGGTGTGACTGAGAATGGAGTATATCATGGGTTTAAGTTGTTAACATCAGATCCTCAAGTAATTTTACATGATTTTTACAAAGTTGTATAACTTATAGTATTCTTGTAAATTTATTTATGTTTTGACAAATCATGTGTAACTTTAATTTTTAGTTTGTTTTTTGACAAACATTTTTTTTTTTTTTTTTTTGTATTTCATTTATTTCATCCTCATTTGGTTAATGACTATTTGGCTAGACCAGTCAAGAATGATTAGAAGTTAAATTTTTATTTTAGTTATTGTTGTATTCAATTACGGCATATAGACATAAATTTCAACTGTTGGTAAGTTTTGGTAATTTAAGAAAAATTGCAGCAGCAGAAAAATTAGAGGCATTCGTTGCAAGAATGTGATATACCTGAATCAAATTTAAGAAGTATCTCAACTTCTATCATCAAGAATTTAATTGTTAAGGAATTAACAGAATGGAAAATAGGTTGTGCATTTGTTAGGATCATTTTCTAAAGAAAAAAATTAATGTAAAAAAAAGCTTAAAAATCATGTAGTTACAATATGAGGGTTAAATTTAATATGAGAAAAAGTTCAAGGTTGTAGTTTCAAGTATTGAAGAAGCATCATTAGGAAATGCAACCCATCAAGTGCAAAAAAACTAATGTTAAAATGATGGTGATTGTACAACATTGAGGATGATGATAATGATGATGACGATGATGATGATGATGATGATGATGATGATGATGATGATGATGATGATGATGATGATGATGATGATGATAATGATGACGATGATAATGATGATGATGATAATGATGATCATGATTACGATAATGGTGATAATGATAATGATGATCATGATTATGATGCTTCTTATTAATAGAATATACAGCATGCAAAAATAAATAATAAATAAATTAGTTTTTTAAAAACTTTAACACCTATTCTTATTTCTATCAATGTTTTGCATATCAAAATATGAATCTAAATAAATCTAAATGAATCTAAATCTACTAATTAAAAATTAGTTTTTATTAATTTATGATTGACTATGTTGGTGATTATTGGTAGTTTATGATTTTCTGGACAAATTTATCTAGTTATTTTATATTACAAATATTTAATTAAATGTTTAAACACGAATGGGTTAATATAGGCGAGTTTGGTATTCATTTATTGACAAATTATCACAATAAATTTTCCATAAGACGTTTAAAAATGTTCTTAAACAAGATTTTAAAATTGGTAAAATAAAATGGCTTCTCAAATATAATAAATTTATAATTACCCATAATCTACCATAATGTTTTTATGCTAAATTACATAAAATGAATGAAATGGATAAAAGCATACTAATATGTCTGAATGCTAGGTTTCAATTTTGTGTGAATAAAAAAAATTTATTTTGCATTTTTTCTTGCAAATATCAGTACTTAAATTTTTTTTTTTTATTTGCTATTTTGTTTTGCATCAATTTAAAGTTGCACTTTGAAACAATTATTTTGAGTTTCTGCTAAAATAAATTTTTGTTAACCAAATTGGTTATCATGTTTATGATTTTAACTTTCTTGCATGAAAATAACATACAAAGATAATGCTCCTATTAATAGAATGGTATTATTATTATTTTGTGAACACATTTTTTAACAACAATTTTTTAAGTTTTTTTTACTAGAAAAATCCAGGATAAACCTTGAAGAAAAATCCAGAATCAACCTTGAATTAGAAATAGGAGCAAAATCTATTTAATTACTAATTAAAAACCTGAAAAATATTTTTTTTTTTTTTTTTTTTTTTGTTAACCTAAAAAACTGGAAAAATGAATGAAATGATAATTTTTTGTAACAATTTACAAAAATTTAGCAACCATTTTTCGGAGCAATTCTGATATAAAAGTCCGAATGCAAACTGCAATAAATATACTGCTATATATACTTATGTTTCAGCTTATTATTTAAAGCAAATATAACTGTAAAATGTACTTTGGTATAATTGATTAATAATTTAATAAATTATTATTTTTTAAAGGATAATTTACTTAAGTTTTCGAAATCTATTTCAGTTTTTAATACAAAAATCATAAATTTATTTGAATTTCATGAGAGATTCTGGTGTTAGCTAATATTGACCTAAAATTTGATTAATCATCGACAACTAACAAAATCATTGTTCGCTTTCTTTCATACTACATAGATTATTCCTGTCCACACAATATCATAAATGTATAATAAAAAATTCTGTTGTAAATTTTTAACTTTATTTTTTGTATGTTAATTAGGTGCGTTGTATTTTGGTAAATATTTTTGGCGGCATTGTTGATTGTGCTGTAATTGCTCGTGGAATCACAAAAGCTTACCAAAGTATGAATCTAAGTGTTCCAGTAGTTGTTCGTCTTGAAGGTAAATTGAAGGATTTATAGTAATAAATTTATATAAATGTATGCATGTATTTAAAAAATTTAAAAGTTAGAAAACCATTTTCCTTATCACCGAATCTACCTCAGTAGATTCAGTGATAAGGAAAATGGTTTTCTAACTTTTAAAATTTTTTTTTTTAATTTTTTATCAAAAGTTTATAGCAATGTTTTTTTTAGTGGTTCAAAATGATTAAATTGTTTTTTAGGTACAAACGTTGATGAAGCAAAACGAATTTTGACAGAAAGCCAAATGCCAATCAAAACTGCTGAAAATTTAGATGATGCAGCTAAGAAGGCAGTGGCTAGTTTTTGATTGCTAGTTATAGATGTGCTTTTTTATAGAAATACAAATGAAATTTTTTTTATTCAGCATTTTTGTCTATACAGAATTTAAAACTTATAAAGTCTTTTTTTGAATTTCTATATGACTTTGTTCAGTCGGTTTGCTTCAAATTGTTTCAAATAAATAAAACCTTGTTTTGGACATGAATATAGATCGTAAGACCTAGAACTTTTACAAAGTGTTTAAAGTTTACTAAAAAACTTTTTTTTTTCACTTTAAATTATGTTCTCCATTTAATAAGTAAAAATAAACATAAAAATGAAACTACTGTAGTTGTAGTTTCTTGAGGGATAATGTTTAAATATCTTTGCAATAGTTAAAATAATTCCAGCACCGAGCAAAGTCCTCACTTAATAAATAGCACTCAAGAACTTAAGATTTCACAGGTCAGGAATTTAAAGTTAAGATTGCATAAAGCTAATGTTAGGATTCCACAATATACCGCAATTAAATTATATAACATAAAGTCTTGATTGGCATCTGATAATATTAATGCGCTAATTTATTAGTAGTAGTTAATAGTCGACTTACGTTATTTTCTAGGCTTTTCTATTTTAAAGTACTTTCTAGCAGAGTTGCCACCAAATCAGGGAATTCAGGGAAATTTAGATACAATCGGGGAAATGATTGATTTAGGAAAAAATCAGGGAACTTTTTAATTTTTCTTTAATGTTTTTAAATTTTTTCTAATAAAAATCTTCCTTTTTAAGGGTACCAGGGTTAATGTTTAACATTTTTAAAGAAAATTAATCATATTGTGTTTACATTAATTTAAAGTTTGCAACGTAATTCAAAGAAAAATGGTTAAGTGATCCTTTGTTTGAAAAATGACTTGCAATAGGCAGTGTAAAAAAGTCAGCCAAGTGCAAAATATGCCTAGTTGAATTTAATTTGTCAAATATGCAGAAGAGCTAAGTCAAACGGATGGCAAAAAACATGCACAAAAGTCAAAGCCAGTATCTTGCTTCTTCATGCCTGCACAATCCACATCTAAAAAGCAAGGACTTCAAACAGTAGATTAATGTAATAAAAGTTGTACAGAAATCTACTCTGTTTTAAATGCAATACAGAATAATTTCTCATTGAACTCATGTAATGAATATTTTATCAGAATACTTTATCAGAAAATGATCCCTGATAGCAATATTGCTAAATCTTATGACATGAGGAACAAAACTTGGTTATATAATTAATTTTGGCAATGGGTTTTATTTTTACAGACTTTTAACCGAAAATATAAAAAAAAATCTCCTTATTATACTCTTTCATTTGATGAAAGCCTGAACGATTCTTTTAAAAATGTCCAATTGGATTTAAATATTCAGTTTTGGAGCAGCAATCTAAATCGTGTTGAATCCAGATACTTAGACTCTAAATTTTTAGGTCACCACACAGCAAAGAATTTACTTCAAAGTATGACTCAACTACGTATGGAAGGTACAAATGTGAACTGTTCTCTTCTTAATCTTTTTGAATTGCAGCATGATCAACAAGAGCTACCTAAACTTCTTAACGTTGGAAGCTGTAACCTTCATCTAATACATGGTTTCAAATCAGGTTTTCAATCTGCTGAATGGAATAAAAAGAAGTTAATGAAAGCATCATACAACCTTTTTTATGATTCTTCGGCTAGAAGAGCTGATTATGTAACTGTTACTAAATGTGAATGTTTTCTTTGTGAATTTTGCTCAACACGCTGGGTTGTAGACCAAAAAGTTGTAGATAGACTTTGTTTAATTGAAGAGAATGTTAAAAAAAAAACCAAGTATTGGGAGACTCTTTCTAAAAGTAAGCAACCAAAATGAAAGAGCTATGAGAAGTGTTTAGGGCAGAGTTGTTAACAAGGCCAAATGTATCAAGACCAAGGCCAAGGCCACGCGTTATAAATCCAAGGCCAAGATTAAGCCCAAAAGTTACAAGGCCAAGGCCAAGAGTTTAAGGCCAAGGTCAAAACAATCAATTTTATTATTATTTTTTAAAGGCCAAGGCCAAAACAATCAATGCCAAGGCCAAAATATTCAGGTCAACTCTGGTTTGGGGGAACAAAAGATAAGTTAATTCTGACTAAATTGAAGTTTTTTGGGTACATTGCAAGTTTGTTGCAGAAAATCTTACTGAGATATCAAACCAATGCCAAATTGATTTCCTTTCTTCTTAAGATTTGTTCTCAACTGTTAATAGTTTAATGGGTTTAATTATAAAACAAGATGTCCAAAGCATCGTAAATGGCAAGAAACTTCAATATTATGATTTTACAAAAAAGGAAAACTTTCTGCTATTATAATTAATGATAATTGGATTTGCTGCAGAATATGATATTATCGAATTGAGGAAAAAGAATGCATTATCTGAGGATGTCATCATAGATTCATAAATGATTACCGTTTCATTAGACGTCTCATTAGATCAAAAATCAGTGAAAATCAGGGAATATTTTTCCTAAATAACGATGGCAACCCTGTCTAGGCTTTTCTATACGCGGTTTTTTTTTTCAATTTTATTTACTAACAACCCGTATTACGGGTTGCTTACTGCTAGTTTTAAATAAATTTTAAAAGTCATCCACTGTAAGATCTTTAGTGTTTTCTTCTTAAACAGTTTAGTTGTTTATCTTGGAGACCAGATATTTTACAAAAGTATATTAATTGTTTAAACTAATAATTGACTGCAATTTCTTGTAAAAGTACCTACATTAAGTTTAAAGTAAAATATTAGATAATATTGAAAACCTGTTGATGAATACAAATTAAGTTTGGAATTGTATTTCTATAACTTATTACTCTCACATTTAAGGTTAACCACTTTATGGTTTATACGCTGTGTGGCTTTGTTGTTCCAGGCTTTAATTATTGCAATTTTTGCAAAGAATTTTATTTCTATGTAGCATAAACATACACAATAATGAAGTTTACACCGTGCATAAAGGTTTTTTGTCTGAAAAACCAACAAAAAACTATTCAAACCCCTGATTGTCAGGGGTGTGGAGTCGTAAAAAAAAAGTACCGACTCCAATCGTTGAATTTTTCAGAGTAAAATTCCAAAGCAAAATTTTTTAAATTCTTAAAAAAATATTACGCGATAAGTAAAAAAAATGTTTTTGCCAAATTTTGGAAAAATTCTTTGAAGGTTTAATATGAATATAAAGTTAATTGAATATTTTGTATATGCACGTGCAATACAGAGAAATTTTACTCTGTATTGCTCTTTTATTGGAGTCGGAGATTTGTTTAGCGACTCAATATATCTAAAAATATTGCGAATACGACTTCACAGCCCTGCTATTTATGTAGCATGTCTAAAAAATGGTATCTTCCAACAAAAATAGATAATACAAAATTAGTCAACCTTGCAGTTGTGTCATTTAACTTTAACTGTAAATTTCTTTTTAATAGTATATTAAATATAAAAATGTGTTAAATATTTAACATTTAATTGCAGTAGTTAAACTTAGTATCTAGATAAATCCAGATAAAGTTAGTAAATAAATTTAGCAGGTGTGGTTTCACTCACTATGACAGCATTTACTTCATGGATCCTTATTTTTGGTTGAGTCTATAAACCTTTTTATCATGTTAAATTTATGCAGTTTATTTTTAAATTGATTTATAGTTGAATAATTAGCTCTCTTGTTACAAAGCTTTCTATGAATAACAATAGTAATAGAAATTCTTGCTTATTTTAATTAGTAACCTAATTAATCTAATTGACTATTGTTTAAGCATAAGTTTATTTATGTTTAATTTTTTCAAAATTGACGATCACGATTAATTGAAATTTCGACGATTTTAATTTGCATTTTCTCAAAAACTACTTAATCAATGATTACGTTTTTTTATAAAAAGATGTGTACATATTTAGATTTTATTACAGAAAATATAAGTAAGGCCTTAACTTCACATAATGCAAGCAATTAAATTTGTTGTAAAACAGCCGCCACCCCCATCCCCTTAACAATCAAAAATTCACTTTTAATGTATTCCGTAAAATCTCAGAAGTTTGCACATTTGTCTCTTTTCTCATTATTCCATTCACTACTGCCAAGTAGGATTTAATAATTAACTACTTAAGACAGTTCAATAGACAGTACCCCTTAGAACTACTTCTTTTATACTAATTTATTATTTTATTGAAATAATGGATCTGGTCAAAATAAAGTCAGATCTGGACAAAATAAAGTTGACCGTTTATATTTTTTAATTAGAGAAAGTTAATTTTAATTAGAAAAATTCGTTTTTTTAACCAGTCACGTAGAGATCTAATGTCTAAGTTTGGTTTGTTATGAAACACCTTCTTTCTTCTTTTTTTTTTTATAATTGTTAATGCAAATATTTCCAGTCTTCTTAAAAATAAAAATACTATTATCATTCTGAATCTTTTCCAAAACATTTATCAGGGCCGAACACACGGGTTTTGCAGAGGGGAAAGGGGGCACAATCATTAATTTGTAAAAAAAGTCCTCTATATCAATATTTCTATTTATAAAAAAAAAAGTCCTTCATAAAAAAAGTGGGCCCCCCCCGGTGTTGTCGGCCCTGTTTATACTTTTTCTTAATACAGTACACAGTGGTTTATTTAGCACATTTTCTAAACATTTG